AGCCTCTGACCTACTGTTACAATCTCTTTCTTACGGTTATGACCCAGCTATTCCTATTGCTTAGTATTATCGGACACCGATTCACTCGACAAGTCTCCAAATCTGAACACGGTTGAACAGAAAAGAGATTATATTCCAAATAACAAGGTTCAGTCAGTCAGTCAGCTACAACGTAGGACCAGGCACATATGTGCATCGGTCCAGGTTGCCATACCGCATCAGCACAACAAGATGAACACCGGATTCATAACAGTGGTTAGGTAAAAGGTGGTAATATATAAGAGAAAGATTGCATATAGAGATATAGTACAAGAAGAAAGAACTGGTTCGTAGAAAGAAAGATATGAAGCGCTTTTAATCTCTTAGTTTAAGGGAAGACAGGGAGTGTATACACCGACGCCATTGTGATCGATTCTGAGCCATGTCACCAAGAGTCTACAACCATTGGTTACGATAGTCACGCGGACCCCAACCAAGTAGTCTGCATCTACCAACATGGCTCAGACTAGAAGTTAGTGACTTCAAGCACTGATGCCACGTTTTGGTTTGGCCACCCATAACTTTCTTCCAACCATTTCCAATACCGGATAGCATTGCACGTCGTGGTAATCGATGTTCAGGCATACGTAACACGTGGCCCAACCATCTCAGTCGATGAAGATTCATAACCTCGTCAACTGATTTACCATCATTTCCTAATACCCTGCGTCTAACCACACTATTACTTGCCCGATTATCCCAGCAGATGCCAGCAATATTTCTAAGGCATCTGTGGTCAAATACTAGTAGCTTACGAGTGTCTTCTACCCTTAAAGGCCATGTTTCGCTACCGTAAAGTAAAACAGAACGGACTGCCGCGCAGTATACTCGTCCTTTTATTGATAGACGGATATCTCGCCTTCGCCACAGGTGACGTAAGTTGGCAAAAGCCAAACGAGCTTTGCGAATCCGTGCTGAGATTTCGTCCGATACCAACCCATTAGGGCTGATCAGACTTCCAAGATTAGTGAAGTTGTCAACGCGTTCGACTACTTCAATCCCTATCCTTAGTTCAGGTGTTAACGCAGACCAGTCCTGAAGCAACAACTTGCATTTCGAGGGAGAGAAGCGCATTCCAAACATCCTGACATTGTTGCTCAGTGCTACCAGAAGACTTTGCATTTTGTCAGCGTCTTCACCAAACAGGACTATGTCATTTGCGTATTCTAAGTCGATAAGTGGACCTCCTGGATGGAGATCAATACCCGAGAACTCAGTCGACGTGAAAGTTATTTCCATCAGTAGGTCTATGATGAAGTTAAACAAAAATGGGGAAAGTGGACATCCTTGACGGACACTACTTGAGGTTGCAAAAGTAGATGACAGTTCGCTGTGCCGGAATGCTAAAATATCCACCTAAATGCCTTTCTGTGTGGTTTAAGCTACCTATCTGAGCATTAAAGTCACCCCCTATGAGTACTATGTCTGAGCGTTTAGCTTTCTGAAGAAGTTCAGATAACTTTCTGTAAAATTCATCTTTCACATCATCTGAGCTGCAGTCAGTGGGAGCGTAGGCAGAAACGACAAAAAGGCAACGACGTGTGTCCCTATCCTTCCGAGTTCTTACGGAGCCGTTTAGCCGAACAGCACATAGACGACTGTTGACGGGGACGAGGACGGTTATCACTTCCCGGTTGCCCACACCGTGGAAGCGTTCTTGTGGAGGTACCTGAAAAGGAAATTGGATTAGAGGCGGTCTCAGCGACCTGAGAGCGTGACCGCAGTGCCCAAGGGACAACCGCTTCAAGCCGGTCGCGCACGGCCTTTTCGTGGAAGGTTTTTGACATGTTAGCTCCGTTCTTCAAAGGGCCTTACCGCCGGAGACGGAAATCCGTGAGGTAAGGTGAGGTGTGCATTTTTAGGGTCGACCTTTTCTAACCCCACCCCTCCTTGTGAGAAGGCAGCATCGCTGTCATGCTGGTTGTCTGAAGGAAACACCTTACTGCTGTCACACCTCTGTACAGTCAGCAGTACGACTTCGCCCTCAGACCTTGAGTTTCTGCTTTTAGTCTTACCGCTCTTCAACCGACCCGTCTGATATGGTAGGACCTTGAGGAACGGTTGTTCCAGCCAGTATAGCTCGGTTGCTTCATCACGATAGGCAAGCCCAACCACCACGTAAAGGTAGCAACAACGGTCGGGAATAACAAGGTTAGATGGAAGTAAGAAGCAAGTAAGAAGTACAATAGGAAGAACGTCATTATATTTTTAGTTTTTACACGAGAAGATTCTAGAGTGTTCTCCAAGTATCGACTAGTGCAGACTGGACAAGAATTAACCAAAGCAATCGTGAATTGAGCATGCGTTAATCCAGTCTATGTCCCGCTAACACCTACTGGTGTAATCCACAAGACAGTGCATCAACGTTAGGAGATGCAGTCACATGGTAGACAGTGGCCAACAACAGGTTCATACAGCCACTGTTCTCTCAATGTCCAGGAGGCCATGTGCACTATCGATTTGGAATCAGCAATTTCCAACTTACCTGCGTACACCAACCCGGTTGAAGCACCGGTTATTCCCTTTTAGTCTTTTCCATTTCGGAAACACTCCTGCAGCGAGAGGCCAGCGAGTAGGACTTCCATGGGAGTGACTGTGTGAGACATTTCGAGTGGAAGAGCTGACTCCCCTATGACCATGCCAGGGCCTTAAGGTTCACGAACACATAGTTGAAAATATTCAGGGGGTTCTTTACATTCCGTCAAAAAATAATACGACCTAAATGGAAATAAAACACCCTTTAGATCACTAATTGGGCTGTTCACCACTGAATACCAATCTGGTAGTTTTCGTTGGCACACACTCACTGAGAAATTTAAAGATCCTGTGTTCAATCGCTGTTGGTAAGTTTGGGGATACATATTGATGCAGAGTTCCATAGTAGAACGAAATAGCTATCCAGTTATACCACTTGGTTTTCTATGGTTGGTTAACTAATAGTCAGTCTGTAACGTAATCTAAATTGTTAATGACTGGAAAAAAATACTCATCAGTTCTAGTTTGCAAATCTGATAGTAATAAGACGGTAGTTGATTTGCATAGATCATAGAATACTATCGAAAAAAATTGAACACCGAACCACTGTTACAGCAGTAGTGCTTCAACTAAGATCAATCTATGATTAATGCTACCTATGAATTAAATTAATTCGTATAAAAGTACTTTGACTTAGCAATAATAATCAGCTCACTACTAATGACTTATTTTAAGATGTTCCTGAAGTTTTAGTAAAAAGCCGTGACTGATGAAGTTTAAACATCCTGAGAGTGAAAAAATTGTCATTAATCGGATTGATTAATTGTAGAATTGTGGTGTACTATGCTACTTAAGTCATATGTAACACTAATTGAAAGTAGAAACCTTGGAATTGTAAACTGGAAGAATCATACACAATGTGTAAGGCAATGTATAGTTCTTATATTTTATCAAGAAACTCAGTGGGTTTTTTTCAAATTAAAATACACTGGTTATCTTCACCTGTGTTCTTATTCATTGAAGAATTATATCGAAAACTGGCTGAAGTTGATATTATAGCACTGGGTGTTGAAACTAGTAGTTCCAATGGATAAGTATTCATCAACATAAAGATGTACATACTTGAGAATCCTAACAATAGGATCAAACAATTAGTCGGAACTCCCTAATTTTCACTGATATATTTAATTAAGACCTATCTGTGATCTATGCGATTTCCACGTTGAACGAATTCCTACGTCACCTCCTTTCAACTACATAGATTGTTTCTCAAGAATTAGATCCAACTCAATCAAAAAGTGGATTATCTCGATTTTGAATTCTAACCAGTATATCAGTATCATTGAATTAAACACGATGAAACATCAATGCCAAATGACCAACTATCAAAAATACACCAAAAATGTTCTGTAAATACGATAGAAGTAGAAATAAATTTCGAATGGTGTTTTCTTTCCCTTTTTCGTTGTCTCAACGTGGAAGACTGTAATCAATAGGCTGAACAAAGCTTACGAACACTAAATCGTATAATAATAATCTATAGGTCAAAATGCCCATTATAATAAGGGGAATATAGACATGCATAATCTAATTTCTGAATAGTTATATCATAAAAATATATAGATAATATTCATCCATTAATAGGTCTCAGAAGTTACTCGTAAATTGATCTTCGCTAGGATGAAATAAGTCCCATTTTTAAAGATCCGAAGTTTAGATTTTGATTTTGAAGAAAAATTGTAACTTTAAGTTCTCCAAAATTGTCCCTCACCCACCCACGAAATAATGTTGGATCCTCATATCTCCAAGTTACAATTAGTATGACTTTAATTAAAATATATTTCGCACATTGAATGAAGTATCCACCAGAAATGATTAGATGACGATAAACCACATTTGATTTGAGGTCATCAGGGTTTGGTTCTTGTAAAACATTTTCTTCAAATCCATTAAAAATCTCATTAGTGGAAAATGAACATCTAACAGAATCGAATAAGATTTTTGATCTTTGTTTGATTCAGCTGACATATATTTCTCATTTTTATAAGAAATTTCATCAAAATTCTGAGAACTTATATCTGGTACGTTGACATGAGAAATCGGATAAGAAGTTGGTTCATGATAAGCTTCTGTTTCCCAATACTTTTGAGTATCATTTGATACAACTGGGTTCATCGTTCTGCTCCAGTTATTTTATGTATGAGTCCGTTCAGATTTCTCGACCAATATCACGTGAACCATAATTTTGTTCTGGCTGGAGTTTATTTTCAGAGTTAGACAGGGCCAATAATGTTTCATTTGATTCTGGACTCAGGGATTAATCTACAGGATGTTTCTTGATCATTTCGTGTTGTTACAACTTCATGTGCATTTAGAATGATATTGCCTCGTTATGAGTCGGACAATTTACCAATATTACATTTTGCTTGAGGTATTATATATGTAAATGCATACGTTTGTACTCCTTTTATGAAAGTGGGACCGTTTTAATCGATATCTGGATCTTTTGTCATTGAATCCAATCAGTAAAATTTGCCGTCATCATATAAAGTATTTTAGAAGAAAAAAAATTGGACAAAATTAATTTATTCACTATGTGATCGAATATCATAGGGCTATATCTGTTCCTACCATCTGGATATTTCAACAAGTTATCTGGTTTCTTATTTCTGTTTGTGAAACTTTCACGGTATTTCACTGTACAAGTTATAAAAAGAGATCAATCAGAGACACTGTGGTAGCTAGTAATATGCATGGAAAACAATATACATTATTCAGATGTTGATTCTTGAACTTTATTTATTTATTTTAACACATAGATATTGGTAAAAGGAGGCACCAAATACATATGCGCCAGACAAATCTAATTCGATATGTTTGAGGGCTGTGATACTGCCCTGGTGCCCAATCCGAAACAGGCAGTTTACCTGGGGAGGCCGCACCCCGAGCAGATAAAGTCCCATGGAAGCCGGCGACCAACGATTGGTTCATACGCCATTTGTTCCCTTAGAATCCTGGAGGCCATGTGCACCATTAGTTTTGAATCCGGTTAAAATGCTAGACATTCGCTTTACGTCCTCTCTTTTTCGTGAACAACACCGCCACGAGAAGGCAGTGAGTAGGACTTCCCTGACAGAGGCTACATGCGCGTAGCCATGTGAGAGCGTTTCGAGAGCTTGAGCGGACTCTTCCCATTTTCTGCCCTTATCAGGGAACTTGAGGGCATCTAATTGGCGACAACGATCGATCAAGAAATAAGAAACGAAAATTTGTTGAAATACTTTGTGCCCAGAATTCTATATTGTACTAAAAATATACTATTGAATAAAGTTAATAATAATAATGATAATAATAATAAGAAGAAGAGGGGAAGCAGAAGGAGAAAAAAATGGGGAGGAGAAGAATAAGAGGGAAGAGGAAAGGAAGTAGGAGGAGGCGTAGAAGAAGAGAAAGAAGAAGAAGAAAAAAAAAAGGAGGGGGAGGAGGAGAAAAATAAGAGGGAGGAAAAAAGAAGAAGGAGGAGGAGGAGAAGAGGAAGAAGAAGAAATGATAACAACTTCATTTATCAATGAAGTGAAAAGTAGGTTGTCTTTTTTCTTCTTGTAAATAATCACTATTCATAGCATTTTACTGAAATCATCTTATTCAAACAATTGTTTAATTGGATAAAAAATATTGAATTAGTCAATACAATTTAATATGAAGTTAATCAGTAAGAATTACACGTATAATTGGACTAATAATATTAACTGTTTAATTATTATTGGAGAAATTTATTAAAATCTTTTATATTCGGGTTATTATAAATGAGGATTTCCAGGGCGAGTACAGGTTGGAATCCTGCCAGTTTTGTGGAAGTACTTTGCACTTCGAAGGTGTAAAGCATATACCACATTTACAGACTCTGATTGCCAACTGATTAAGTGCGGATTGCATGGCTTGGGCATTGTCGCACAGTAAGACAATATCATCCGCACACTCAAGGTCGAGAAGTCTTTCTCCAAGCAACAGATCCACACCGCCATTACCTACATCCATCAGAGCTGTTTCCAGACTGTCATCGATGGCAAAGTTGGAGAGGAATGGTGAGATTGGGCAACCCTGCGTAACCTCAATGCTCGAATGGAACAATGGAGAAAAGTTGTTATATGCCCTCACTCTGCCTGAGGTGTTTGTATATAGGTCCCCTTCAGGATGTTAATGAACTTCTCAGGTACACCCTTCTTCAATAGACAATGCCAGAGAACAGTCCAGTCCAACGAATCGAAGGCGTCCCTCAAGTCAAGAAACACTACGATTGTTGGCCTTTGATAAGTATGACGGTATTTGGTGGAGAGTGAAGATATGATCAATACATCCTCGACCAGAATGAAACCCAGCCTGCCTCTCGCGAGTCAATCTTTCTCGGGTTTTGAACAACCTACGAAGTATGACGGAAGGCAACTCGTCAGCTTCGCAGATTGTTTCGTTCACACCAGACATCTTGCTGCTAGTGGCTCGGATAGGTTGTAAGAGCTTCCAGTAGTTATCAGATGCAGCTGATGCTTCCAGCTCATTGGCACGCTCCGACCACCAGGCTTCTCGGTCCTTACGCAAGCTTTGCCCGATTTCATTACGTAACATCCTTTGTTTGTGGTCAAACTCACGGTCACCCGGAGTAGACCGATGGGCTTCAATGAGTTGTAAAGAACCTTAAGAAACCCAGTGCTTATAAGCGGGACATTTCGCGAACCCACAACTGACTGTTCCCGCCATTTTCATTGCATCATGCAATTGCAACCAATGCTCATCTATACCTTCCAGTGGAATGGTAGCTAGCCTAGAGGCTAGCTCGGTTCGATACTTACTAGCAACAGAAGTTGCAACCAGCTTGCTAACATCAATCCGTTGGTGGCGGTCACTTCGTTGGCCACTGAAAAGTAATGTAAGATTTTTGCAGACCAAGACATGGTCAGAGTCCAGATAAGTACTCCACAAGGAGCGGCAGTCTTGTACACAACCACGCCAGCGGTAGCTGATCGCGATGTGATCAATCTCAGTCGAGGCTTGAGATGCAGAGGGAGGACGCCAGGTGGCATATCGGCGATCGCTGTTCCGAAAATTAGTGCTAGCCAGAAACAGGTTGTGGTCTGTGCACAGTTGCAGTAGACGGTCCCCGTTATCTGACCTGCGACCAACGAGTCCCCATCGGCCACCTAAACGACTCTCTTCTGTGCCTAGACGCCCGACCTGAGCATTCAAGTCTCCGGCTAGTACTACAATATCTGTCGAACTCACTTTCTGAGAAGAACGGAAAACTGGTGGTAAAACTTATACTTGATTGCATCCGAGCTGCAATCTGTCGAGACATAGGCGGAGATAACGAAAAGACATCGTTTCTCACACCAATTTTTCACTTTGATGGAACTTTCTAATCTAACAACACACAACCGACTGTTAATGGGGATCCAGTCGATTGGTGCTGCCTCGGTTCTAGCGCTTAGTGCAAACCAACGTCAGCAAGACCAGACGAAGGTGTGACAGGGTCCCCGGATAAACGCACGTAAAACAAGCTCTTTGAAGCGACAGATGGAGAGCGAATTTGTAGTACTTCATCAGAGTTTTGAATACGGGTCTCCGATAGACCGCAGACATCGATATTAAGACTTTCTAAAGACAAAGACAGCACTATCTAATGTCCGATCTGCATAAGTGTGCAAACGTTGAAGGCAGCCAGTTTGAATGGTGCACGTGGTTTCAGAAAAACTGCTTCAGTACTCATATTCGGTGGTAACATACAATTTTCAACCGGACAGTGACTCGAGAACGTCTAGATAGAGTCAAATTTCCACCATAGGCGAGCTACTGGATAAATCGAAAAATAAGGATACACAGAGTGGGCATAACAGAGTGATTACGTGACGTAGTAGATAATAATAATAGTACTAATAGTAGTGTGAATCCTTTGACTGTTAATAGAAGCAAGAATAGTATTTTCCATAAGTATCGTCATTTCATTCTATTTGTGTGTGGGCTGTGATACTGCCCTGGTGCCCAAACCGAAGCAGGTGGCTTACCTGGGGAGGCCACACCCCGAGCCTTTGACCTAAAGGTCTGGTCCACAAGGCAGTGAAGCGTTGTAGGGAGATGCAGTCTCATGTTAGCCGGTGACCAACAACTGGTTCATACGACATATGTTCTATCAGGATATTGGAGCCCATGTGCACCATTGGTTTGCAATCCGATTAAAGCGCCGATCATTCTCTTTTCGTCCTCTCAATTTCGTAAACAACACCCCATCACGAGACGGCAGTGAGTAGGACTTCCCTGGCAGAGGTTATATACGCATGGCCGTGTGAGAGCATTCCGTGAGCGAGGGCGGGCTCACCCCACTCATGGCCGTACCAGGGCATTTGGAAGTGTCACTATTTGCATTAATATTACTATTGTTAGCAACAAACGATTTGTGAAGAATGTCCAACTTGTAGTTAATTATTAAAAACCAGATGAAGGATGATCTTCAAAAAGTTAAGGTAAGAAGTCAGATCTAGTGATGTTTAACAAAACCAGATCAAATGTATTTCAGTGAAATCATGAACTAGTCAGTGTCAGACTACAATAAATAAACTGGAAGCATTGGACGGCTGTTTCGTCCTAGAATGAGACTCTTCAGAAGTGGGTATTAACGATCTCGCACGCGGTTCTCGAGCCAACGACTTTTGGTTTTGTGCGCGAACGCCTAAACTCTAAGATTGGTCACTTTATGATCTCGACTGAAAACTCAAAAATCTCCACAATCCTATACTAACAAAACATATTTATCATCAATGATAATGTATGATGATTGTACAAGAGCATAAATTAGTTGAAAACGGAGAAGCAAACCAATGTATATATTCAAATTGTCACACCAAATTATCATCGCAAGATGAAAATATGATGATAAACCCATAGTAGTGGACGTACTAAATATATCAATGGTAGTAGTAAACATAGGGCATAGAATGTAGTTAAGAAGGAAAGAGTGAATTTGTAGGAGTACAAAATATAAGATAACTTTAAAGCTTCATAGCTAAGGGAAGACAACGAAATAATATATCTCTACTACTGTGACGGGTTCTCAATCATATTATCCGATGTCTTTGAACATTGGTTATGATAATCGTGCAAACATTAACCAGACAGTCTACATCCACCATGTCAGATGGTTGGAGGAAGTTAATGAGAATATTTGTTCAACTTGTTTCATGTCAGTTAGCATTAAATGGCGAGATATGACATATACACTCGAGGTAACCCAAGTTTCCCATACGATTTTAATCCACATCACTCAATATCACAGCCAAAAATATTACAACTGAGTTATCAAACATGTAACTGACCTCCACATTGATGTTAAGAACAAACTTTAAAATGTTCCAACCACAAATTTACGCTAAACAACAAATCATTAAGCAGAACAAAAGGGTTATATCGAAACAATATCCTGATTATGAAAGTAGTTGAAAATGTAGTGGAATGCATTCAGTAAACAACACAGATCACTCTCTGTTCTCTTTCTTAGCTTTCATCGATAATGGATGATGTTATAATGGTCGTGATGAGATTTCAGCTAGTTACTAGTTAATCAGAAAGCAGCTTTTGGAAATGGATAACTTGTGGTAAAGAAAACAATAGCACTGGAAAGTGTAGACAAATTAGTAGTTACTCTGTAAATTGAAAAGTCAAAGTCATATACATCCATCAATGTAGATATAAAGTATCTATCTTTCGAAATACTACAAATGACTCAAAAACCTCGAAATTATTTATGATTATGGCAAGATATTTATGATTAGGACTGGCAGTCACGAGTTTGCATCAGATATAATGCAAAACATTCCCTCGACAGAAATATGGATGATACAATCCCACTCAACCAAGAGGCCATAAAATATAATGCCAATAAGTGAATGTTTCTTCCAGCATTAAAGGTTTAAGATTAGAATGTAAGGACAGTGTTGGTTTCATCGTTATTTACAATTTACAAAGGAAAAACTAATTATATTATACATCCAACACTGTGACAAAAATTAATATTTCGTTATGAGTTTGATCGAATACAAAAGTATGTCTCATATTAGTGATATGTGATCAATGAATTTTGCACAAAAACCTACAACTCATGTTCTCGATTTTCATTGACTTTTCCACATACCATATTTATAGTTTGAGCTATGTTGATGAGCGTAGACTACATGGTTGAGATAAGAGTGACTAACGTGAGCAATGGTTGGAGACATTGCTGACATGGCTCAGAATCAGTAGAGACAGTGATGGAATTTATCTTGATCATTTCATCTGTTTGCGTTGATATGATCTGGTGAACTGAACCGATACACGCTGGTGCTAAGTTCTACGTTGCTTGTGATAATCTATTGCAACAAATATGATTTGAATAAATAAAACGAATGAAAGTTAAAAATCAAATAACTCACTCATATTTGTGGTAGATTTAGTCAAACCTATATCTTTTATCCGTAATATAAATGTAACCGAATTGCCTTTGTTCAGTAGACGATCATGATTATTTTCACGATGACCACTTTCACCGTAGCTGACAAAAGAATCATCGTCATCATTAATTAAATATTTAGTTGCTGCAATTTCGGGCGCCGGTAAATAGAACTGATACAGTAAATGATTTAATTTGGGATTACACATTGTCTCAGCTAAGTGACTTCTCCATTCTGAACCACTTTTTATTATTTCATTATAATCTAAGCTGATTAAATAACCATGAATCTGTTCAGGATCCATATGATTTTCATTAGATATTCGTGTTACAAGAGCTATTTAGAAAGAGATACAACATTTGTAAAATGGAAATATAATGATAATAATAAAACCAATAGTCCGACAGTCAACCAGTAACAGTCAATTTAAAGCCTGGCACAAACGCTCGCTGGCCCTAGTTACCATATCACATTGGCAAATCGAGACGTAATGTAAAGGAGTGGAAATAACTGTATTAGTAATATTATTGAAAAGATTAAACACTGAAACCATGGTACGAAAAGGCAGAATGAATGGCCAATGTACAACGGAATAATGAAACTCCAGATCTAGAGGAGGACAAAGTGTGAATGTATATGTGCCGTCGTGGTCGGTCATTAGTCACGTCAACCAACGTCACCAACCGCTGATCGCAGTTATTGCGTGGACATGAACAACGTTATCTGCACTAATCCATATGGCTCAGGCTAACAGCCAATGACTTGGTGGACTGATACCACATTTTAGTTTGGGTACCTCTGACTTTCTTGTAAGTTATTCCTAAACGAGCTAACACTTTCCACCAAGATAGATGAAGGTTAGACACACGTAACAAATGTCTCGACCGCCTCGATTGATGAACTTACGTTTGAATATGTGAAATAGTAATAGTGAGAAAACGTAAACTTCTAGAAATAAAGCTCACATTTCAAATAATAAATGAGTTCCGAGATCAAACATCTCAATAGTAACATTCCAAACTATTAAAATCAATAACTCAGATTTCAATCTACCAGAAAGTATCAGTTCTTTCAAAATTGCAAGTATGTTGTGATAACAAGTACTAACCAGAGAACAAACTAGTTCTGGAAGAGTTCGTTTTTGACGACTAATTTCAAATACTTGGTATGAAGAATCAATGTTAAACTTATAATGTTAATATCAGAAGGGGTTTTGTGGAGATTGTAGTAATTTCAACAGTTGAGATCATGAGTCAACTGAAGCTAGACCACCGTGAAAAACCTGGAAGCACTCGACGGCCGTTTCGTTCTGTTTTGGGACTCTTCAGCAGTGCGCATCCACGACCTCGCCTCGTGCGACTTAAACTCAGGAAATATCAGTCTCGCACCAGGCGCTTAACCAACTAGATCACTGAGCCAGCATCCAACGATGTTAATGTCTAACTTCAGCCAATCCCCGAAATCGAGAGACACATTCATCATTGTCATCGGTGAGTTACTATCTCACAACCGATTCGGTTGGACTCCACTGGTCACTGCTTCTCACTAAAACTCCAGGATATACCTCTTGAAGCCAGTCACTAATGAGCATATGTTGATTACTGTCAGAAGGGGTTTCGTGGAGATTGTAGTAATTTCAACGGCTGTCCAGTGCTTCCAGGTTTTCCTTGATGGTCTAGCTTCAATTGACTCATGATCTCAATTGTTATAATGTTAAACTTATAAAATAAGAAGCAACGAATTCAAAACAGTAGCTATTATTTATTACATGTGTTGTTTACGAAAACGAGAGGACGAAAAGAGAATGTTCGGCGCTTTCCCCACGTTGGTGGAAACGGCAAGTCCACCTAGAGGAGTTGGAAAACCCTGATTCCAAACTAAGTGTGCGCATGGGTTCCAGTATCCTGAGGGAACAAATAGATTATGAACTAACTGTTGGTCACCGGTTACCATGAGACTGCATCTACTTACGATGCTCCATTGCCTTGTGAATCAAACCTTAAGATCAAAGTTTCTGGTTGTGGCTACTTACGTAAATAATAATAATAATAATAATAATAATAATAATAATAAATTATATAAAGGTTGAGTATTTGCAACCGAAACTGACGGTCCTGAGTTTGATAACTGGTGATAAGATTGAGAATTTCTACTGCTAGGAAGTCCCATACTAAGACGAAACAACTGTTCAGTACCAGTCGGTTTTCATTTGTCGGTTAATTAAGATCTTTTCATGGTGTCAACCATGATATTCTACATAAATTAGCATCCACAAATCGATTTAATTTTACACTTGCAAAATGATCTTCGCTGCGTATTGAAGCTGATTTAGATACTTCTGGTTATATATCCTTAGTATATATCTAAAGCGTTTCACTCCGTGAAATCAATGAATAATTTGTTTTGTTTTTTAAATTCAGCTATCCAAAAATATTAAATCGGCAATTATTATCGTAATCAAAATGACATAAAGATGTTCATGTTTCAATGTGCTCTGAGCATAATTTGATGAACACAAATTTTACTTTAAAAAACGAGTCCACTATTCTACTGACAATCTATAACCTAATTCACAATTAGATTCTCAATAATGAACAAGTAAACTCATTTATCAAATACACATTTATGTACTGAACTCTGAACTACAATTAATTATTAGGAGAAAGTTTGTGATACTACTTAGTGGTCTTATCTAAAATTATTTAAATATAGAAGGGAAATTGAGGATGTATTTATATTACTCTAGTCTTAGTGAATGAAAGCTAAATAAGTGAAAGTTTTCAAATACTACCAACATCATGGGTCAGTGATGTAATAAATTCCTTTTTATTCGTATTGTAAAGCTACCTCTATAGTTAACTATATAAATATAGTGTTTATGACAAAACTATGAAATGTGCATTTTCAAGTGGATCTCAATTGATATACACCTCTATAATATCGATGTTATTTCCTCAATAATCATACACAGTTCTGTAGTTTGTAAAACAGAGAATGTTTTAAATAATCATGAATATTGGATTAGATTCACATAACTTTTGAAAACGTACAATAGTTACCATATGATTAGGACTAAAATGATACATCACATGAAGAATATTGAGTTTTAACAAACTGCATTACGGAAATGAAATATCTAAGACAAATCAAGCTCATGATACTTTTTGTAAATGAACAAATTTGTTGTAATAAATCTCTTTTTTTACTAATGTGGCACGCTTAGAAAACCATCTATTTCGGTTTGAGTGCCCGATCGGTATTCTAACACAAACACTAATAGAATGATCTGTTTAGCACATATGCATCTTTCGCCTTCTTGTACCAGTTTTTGTGTTTAAAACAAATAAAAATTGTCACTTTTCATCGGACTTCATTAATGGACCAAACTACTTCATAGATACAAATATTCTGAGTTATACCCTGGAAGCAACGTTATCGTTGAGACAATTAATTATTATTGGTTATTGCTGTTAGTTTTGTTAATTCACAACCATTGGCCGCTACCACACAAGTTCTGGACTTGTTTTCATTTCAAATGGATGAAAAAAAACTGCATCAGACACTCAGTTCCAGAAATTGAGTTTTAACGGCGAATTAAAACGTTCCTTCTAATGACCATTTTATCTATAAACATGGTGTGATGGTATAAATAGAAAACTTGCCAAAGACATTGCTCCAAACATTATCAAAGGAATCGTAATACCTAAAGAACAGAATAATTTACAAAAACCACTTGATTATCATCGAAGTAACCTGTTCATACAGAGATGATTATTATCACATGCTACGAAGTGTAACTAGATAACATGTTGAAAATAATAACCATAGATACAAAAACCCAAACAAGTTTTTTAAATATCTCACAGTAACTGAGGAAAGGAAAAAGACCGGGAAAAGATCAATGGGTGAGACTATGATTTATGGAAGATCATTGAGATACTGAAGGGACCTTGAGTGGAAACTTACTGACTAGGACTAAATGAGGGTTATAAAGCAGGTAGACAGCGCGCTATTTAAAAAGGACAGTGGTATTTTTCCTCGCTGAGTAAATTTGTTTGTTGTGATCGTTTATTACGTATCAAGACTACTGTTTTCACTTTAATTGAATTTATTTCAGTTAAAGAATTTGACTAAAGTATCGCTTTTACTGTTTTGTCGTTGGTACTCTTGAGTACCTCTTATTCAACTGTATCTGTTAGTACTTTTGGTCCTAGCAATCTACCGCTCTTCACTTTTGGTCATTGATAACTGTTTTTTTTTGTTTCTGAGTATCCTCACAGTTTAAAAAAAGAACCCCTCTTAAATGACCGGACAGTGTAAAAAAAGTAGTTGTCAACGTCCCGGTTGTCGCTATCCTGTTGAAAGCGGGATGCAGTGCGACGAGTGCAAAGGCTGGTACCACGAAGTCTGCACGAACTTAACGCCTGCTGCTTTCAAACGGTACAGTAAAAAGGGTTGTCTGTGGCTTTGTCAACAGTGCTGCTCGGATGCAAACAGCTTGCTAACCGAGGCCATCTCACTGGTTGATGCTGCAAAGAAGTGCTTTAGCAAGCATAGTCGGAACGCGTCAAGCAGCACTCGATCTGTCGACACGCAAATCAACGTGAAGGAAACTAAGGTTAGCCCGATGGTAGATGACTCAAGCCTGTCAAAGAAGGAAAAGCAGTCTCTAAAGAGGCCTGCCTTAGACAAAAGCTCAAGAAAAGTAGGGTCTTCTGTTCCCCGTCTCCCAGATGGGATCCAACAGGAAACACCTAGAAGCCGCAATCGCAAGGCTCGATCGGTTTCAAACGGTAAACATAACACGACCCATCAGGTCGTCGGCAACCCCCCAAAACCCAACACTGAGTTTGACGCAACTGTTATTGCTTCTACCAGCACCGTTGAGGAATGGGTAAAGGTTGCGAGGAAGAGAAGTAGGGATATAAAAGGGAAACCTGCTCCCGTAAAAGTGGTTGAAAAATCGAAAGCTGATCATAGCGACAGATCAGCTATTTTCCATAGAATCAAGGAGAGCGATAGCTCTGAACCTAAAGCTCGTTTTGAGCATGACATTGTACTGATTAGGCAGCTGCTTAATCAACTCATGCCTCAAAATATGACCGGGGTCACCTTGCTAAAGGTGTACAGACTAGGGAGTCTAACGGACTCGAAACCAAATCATTCCAGACTGCTTAAAGTAGTATTCGGCTCTTCGAACGAACGTGACCAAATTTTACAAAATGGGCACAAATTAAAGGGCTCAGGAGTCTTTATTCGAAAGGACCTACCGTTGGCAGACCGTGTTAAAAGACGGGAAGCCGA